TTCAGGGCAAGCTAGTGCGAAGGATTTGGGATTGAAGGTCCCTGATTGTCAAATGTGTAGGAAATCATGGTTGATGCTGGTTTGTCTGAACATGGCTCGCCTCGGTTCCTTTCCTCGAACTCGTGCTGTTGCAATGGCTTTTGCAAGCATGTGAGCTCTTCCAGCCATGCTGGGCTAGACTGCGCTTACACTTACACCCGTGCAGGTAGCTTTTCAGCCAGATGTGAGAGTCGGATGTCCAGAGCATGTCGCCCGCGCGTGCCACGTGCCGCCTATTGCCGCCTTGGCCCTACGCTTTTTGAAGCTAACTCTAGCTCATGGGATCAACAGTAGCAGCCCACGAACAGCCGACGAAGGTGCAAGGCTTGCCGGCTGAGCCGGGAAAGCTGTGACCCATCGGCGCTTCAGGTCCCCTGGCCCTGTCATGAAAATCTGCAACTAGGAAAGTGGGAAGAGCCGGTTCATACCTTCTCAGTATGGGGCGCACCTAAACGATCCATGCCTTTTAGCTCCTGAGGAACATGCGGTCTGTCTAGTTCAGGGCAGCAGCCAGGCGCTTTTCGGACACTGCTTACGAAGCTTTGCGTCGCAGTTTCGGCAACAATTGTAGCAGGTGGCTTTGGCGACTCTCGGCCGGGATAAGGTGATGTATTTGCAGTTGCAGCTAACCAGTCAGTTCAATGCGATTTCTGCCTGCGAAGTTTCGGGGGTAAGGAAACATGTGTGGCCCGCCTGCATTTATCCATCCGAAGCTGCAAAAACTTAAACAGCTTGCGCCCCAGCATGCCCCCAGCACTGTGAAACTTCAATCCGAAACCTTATAGGGGGCATTTTTTGGGGGGTCTAAGTCTATACCATAATGATACTTAAGGTATTTTAGGGGTCTGAGTACATACCATAATGATACTTAGGGCGCTTTAGGGGTCTAAGTATATACTTAATATACTTATAGGGTATTTTGGGGTCTAACCTTCGCCTTCAACCCCAACTCCATGGACAAGCTGCACACAACAGCTGACTGTCAATGTAAGGTTTCTGATGCACAATCCTAGTCAGATGCCAAGTTCCAAATGAAGCCAGAGCCGCTTGAGCTGTAAGACTTTAGGTATTTGGATGTTCATGGGTAGTTATAAGTGGGGTCAGGTCAGCGCGAGTGCTAAAAGAAGTCCCCCAATATGGGTTATAAGTACAGTTGCCCCACTTATAACCCCACTCAAACCACCCCTGCACCTCCAAGTAGTATGGAGGCAGACTTCCAGCGGCTAGAGCTTCCCAGTGCAGGCAGTGGAGGTGGAGCTTGTTTTGCTGAGCAGTTCAGGCTTCTGAAGTTGATTTAGCAGGGCATCCTGCTTGATTTTGGGCCTTGGTTCGAAGGTCCCTCAAGCCGTAGTAGGCGCTCAGCAGACCTTGGAGGTGCTGATTTGCAGAGATTGGGGCGTTGTGGCATTCGGTTTTGCATGTCGGCGGAGTGTCGCAACCCTGCTGAAGTGGAAGGCACAACAACATGCAATGACATGCAAGCTTTGCATGTAGCACGTAAATCGAATCATGGGCTGGTCTCTCGTGTAGCTGAAAGAGCGAAGGTTTGCCTGCGAGCCTGCGAGTTGTGGAGCTTCTCTGTGCTTCTCATGGACGGTATCATCTCCAAGTGCTATCATGGAAAATTGGGCAATCGGACCTTGCTACAGGTTAACAGGTCACCAAAAAAGAGTGCTCAGTACTCTCACAGCATTGCAAGTTATCCCTCAATTGCTCGCAAGATGTGGCATCCGCGGAGAGATGGAAAGTCGTGAGGCCGCTGCGCTGTTTGTGCGTTGGGACACATCGGGGTTCAGGGATCAGGGCTTCAAGAAACACCAAATTTTCGAAACCATCAATGTCTCGGCTACGTTCCAAACCGACCGAGTGTTGGGCTTGAGCCCCAAACCTTCGTAGGCACTGAACTCTAAGTTCTACATGAGGTAATGCGCTCAGCGATGCAGGAGGCAAAAAGGAGGTACTGTAATGAGGCATGGCACCAAAAAAGCTGGGGTTTAGAGCCTGGGGCAACCAACTCTTGCTGGAACCAGAGTCTCGAGGAGCTACGTGCCCATGATCTTTGTGCTGGACTCTTGGGGTTCTCCGGGAATTCTAGCAAGAGTCAGCCCTTCACGTTATCAAAGCCCAAACCAAACCTAAAAGACAGTCCTCCAAGATTGTTGGCTCATGATTAGGCTAGTCACATGCCTGCCATGCTGGTTCAAACCCCATACTGCGGGACCCAGACCCGAACCGGAGATCTCACCATCCCAGAAACTCCACAACCTCGTAATTCAGGAATATTCCTTTAATCATACATTGGTTCCTATTCTAATTTAAGGTATATTCCTTAATGAAGAGGTTTCTTTGTCCCTATCCCAACCATGAACTAGGTTTTGGAGCCTCTGGGATGTCAGAAGTCCATCGGGGCAGCTCAGAGCTCCCCCTATAGACTTCTGCAGGCGGGCGGGGCCGCGGGCCTCCTTCCGGCGCGCGATACTTCGGATTCGCTGCGATATCAAGGAGTGGGGTTTAGGGTTTGGGGTTCTGCCGGCATACACTGCAAGTCCGTGCTTCAAGAGGGTTTAGGGTTTAGGACTGCGAAAAACTGGCAGTTTACGATCTTTTACCACCGACTCCCTCCTTCTTGAAAGCCCGATTTACAAGCAAAGCTCACCATCTGGGGTGCTAATCGTTAGATACCATGTATTTTTCGGGTTTGGTTCCTGCCACCTCGAGGCACTGCATCGTGACAATCAGAAAGCCCCCAGCGCCGAGTAATCCAGAGAAAGCCCCAAACAACCCGCAAAGTCCTGAAAGCCCTGATGCCTCCCGGAGGAGCTTCGCTCGACCACCGGTCTTGGACAGCTCGCACAGTTCAAGACTTGGCAAAGATTTTGAACACCAGGGCCGTGATAAGCATTTGCTTCAATCTAATCAAAGCATGCTGATTGAATAGAACGTGCCTGTAAACCTTCTGACAGGCTCTTCTATCGTCCGCATCGTTGAAACCATTTGGCGAAATTGCTGTTTCTGCCTGGATCCTCAATAGACCAACTGCCGGATAACATGTTACAGCCTGTAGCCGTAAGCTGTAACAGGTGAATCCTCAACCTAACCCACGGCTTGCGGGGTTATGCGACGTAGACGGTGCATGAGGCAGACGATATCCAGCGAGTACGAAGCTCGTACCGAGGCCCTGTGGAGCTTAAAAGGGAAGGTTCTGCCTGACTAGCATTTTCAGTCATTCGAGTTCCAGGTATTATCCCCAGGCAGCCCGAAACGATAGATGCCGCAACCCGCTTGGCGGCCGCGAGGCTGCGCCCGCGGAATGTGCCTGCCTCGGAGCCTTGAGCCTTAAGCTTCAGGCGGTCAGCCCTCTGATCTGTTCGGGATAGCTCTTCGGCACAGAGGGGCGGGTGGCTCGTTACCGCAATCTTGGCTTAGGGATCCACACGACTAAGTACGCAAGGTGGCCACTTGAGATAGGGCTCCTTCTTGCACAGCTGGCATCGCCAAGACAGTCGCTTTCCGCTACGTGGCCTGCAGCGGCACATGGGAAGAATCGTGCTTGCATGCGCAATTGGGGACTCCGATGGCCCAGCTTTTCCTGTTTGTGCATGTTGACATGTTCCGGGCTGACGGTGTGTCAGATAGACTACGTGTCGTTTTCCAGGATTCTACAAGATACCAGGGCAGCGGAATCCTTGAGAGAAGAGGGCTCCGAGAGTGGCACATGACCTATGATTCACCGATTCCTCCGAGTACTACTTGAAGGCCTCGAGGTTCGCCCAAGCTTCCCAAACATTCCTAGTACCCTCTCTCCTTCAACCACCTTCCCTGGCAAATCCTTTTGTGGCACCCGAGACTCCGGAAGCTTATGTATCCCACACCCTCCGCCCTGATTCCGCAGCCCTAGGTCCTGCAGCTGCCTGCGAATCATGCCGCCTCCAGAAGCCGGTCATTAAAAGGAGCAAGGCCTTAAGGCTTGAGGCTGCCATCCAAATCCCTGGTTCCATGACATGTAAACATGAAAGGAAACTACGCTTGATCGTGAAACAGGCAAAGCATAGAATAGATTGTTTTAGGACCTTACTGCCATAGCAGCAGTGTATGACGACGATGTGAAGACTGCGCAATGACGGCGCGACGAGCGCATGTACACCTACAGTGCTAGGGCACATCTGCTGCTTGCTTTTTGGGCCACTGTTATGGAGTTAGTTGGCAGTAGAGAAAGCAGCCTGGGCATCCAAAGACTGTCGACCTTTCCAAGGGCGCAAGCTAAGATCTAGGGCTGCGGAGGATGGAATGGGTTTTCACTGAGGTTTCGAGGCTGCCAGGCTCTCTCTGCGAAGAATCCTTGGCTGAAATAATTCGGAGAAATCTGGATTCAAAAGATGTGGCTAAGAACTTATCATTCACCAACACAATCGAGGCTGACTAGTCCTACCGATACCAAAATTTCTGCTCACCCCTCCCTACGTCCGAGAGAGCTGTCAAGAGCCAACCTTCTATTTAAAGGTCCAGGCGAACATCATACTCATGAATATAGGTAATATATATATATATACATATATACATATATGTATATATAAGTTCATCAAATATTAGATGTAAGCAAATTATTGGTGAATGGCCTTATTCATTTCAATTCTCAGAAGAGTCTATCTTGAAGAATGTCGAAATCTAATTGTAATTGTCTTCGAAGTTATTGAAGTTATTTTGAACTAGAAGACGGCCGTGGATTATGGAAGATATATGCGACTAAAAGTCATTGGGTACTCGGTATTCTAATTACGACGTATTTCATGAGGCATATGGGTAGACTTAGATTATAAGCGTAGTTAGGATGGTTTTACGGCTTTATTGAACTATGATCTCACAAAGCTTAGTTTAGATCGAAGTTTTATTCGTCGGAAGTATGTGGGCTACTGCCCAAGCAATTCGCAGTCAAGCCCTCTCAGTATCGTCCTTGACCAGCGATGGCCGCCGATTGCCGCCTCCCTGAATCTGAATCTGAACCACCGGCGGCCTCAATGAAGCTTGGAGATCGGGTCGAGTCGCACTCTCTTGCCAGCGCCCCTCACCTGAACGGGTTGGTTGGTAAAGTCGTTGCTTTTCAGGAAGGACGTGTCGGCGTTGACTTTGGGTCGCCGCACGGAGTCAAGGCATTGAAAGAAGCCAATTTGCTGCTGCTCTCGCCAAACAAGTTGCCAGTGACTCTCCTCAGTGGGTTCCTTGGTGCTGGCAAAACGACCTTGTTGACCCACATTCTGACGAACCGCGAAGGTCTTCGAGTGGCCGTGTTGGTCAATGACATGGCCTCCATCAACGTGGACGAGCAGTTGCTGAAACAGGGTGTGCAATTTCACGAGAGCAAGGACAAAATGGTTGAGCTTCACAACGGCTGCATTTGTTGCACACTCCGCGAAGACTTGATCAAAAGTGTTCATGACTTGGCCTTGGAGAACCGCTTCGACTACTTGATGATTGAAAGCACAGGAATCTCAGAGCCGATGCCTGTGGCGACCACCTTCGACGCCAAGGATGAGAAAGGCAAGCACCTCCTCGGTGAGTTTGCGACCCTGGATACTTGTGTCACAGTCGTCGACTCCGCGAACTTCCTCAAGGATTACCGAAGCCACGAGAAGGCATTAGATAGGAAGGATTTGGGTGCCGAGGAGGGTGACGAAAGAACCATAGTGGATCTGCTGATCGATCAAGTGGAGTTTGCAAATGTCTTAGTCCTCAACAAGACCGATCTCGTGGGCACCAATGAGTTGAAAGATCTTAAGGTAATGCTTAGCAAGCTGAACCCTGGTGCACGCATTGTCGAGAGCGAATTTGGTGTCGTCGATCCGAAATACATTCTGAATACAAAGACCTTTGACCTAAAGTCGGCCAGCATGATGCCTGGCTGGAAACAGGAGTTGAAAGGGGTCCACCACTTGCCAGAAACTGAAGAGTATGGAATTTCCAGTTTCGTGTATCGGATGGATCGGCCATTTCACCCCGACCGCTTGTTGCAAGCGCTCAGCTTGGCTGGTGGTGCGTTCCCTGGCGTGTTGCGCTCAAAGGGATATACATGGGTCGCCAGCGAGGACTTGATGTCAGTGGAGTGGAGCCAGGCTGGCTGTAATACTATTCTGAAGGCGGGCTTCGCTTGGATATCGTGTGGCGTGGCCAAGGCTGCCTTGCCGCCTCGGCGACAGGAGATTGTTTTTATCGGCAATGCCATGGACGAGGCCTCCATCCGCAAGTGTCTCGGTGAAATCCTTCTGACAGACGAGGAATTCCAACTTGGGTCTGAGGTTTGGACGCAATGGCCTAAAGTGGTCACGAGTTATCTCTTCTATCCGGAGGACAAAGGTAGGGATCTTGAGTTTACGGTTGATATCGTGAAGAATCCGGGCGACAGGCTTGGCTTGCAGACTGGGGAGGATGGCGATGGGGTTGAGATTTTGGAAGTCTTCGAGGGAGGATTGCTGCACAAGTGGAACACCGAAAAATGCTCCGAGAATCCAGAATTAGTAGTCAGACCTCGCTACAGCATTCGGTCTGTGAACGGCACAGCTGGGCGAGAGGGTATGACGTTAATCGGTTCAAGCACACACTTGCGATTCAAGATTTCTCGCTGGCATCCAAGTCATTTCAAGACGATGCAAAGACGTTTCTTTCAGGTAGCCATGCCATCATAAATTGAGAACACTGTGGTGGTTCCGTGCAATGTTCTCCTCGGAGCACTTGGTGCATGTGCGTGGAGTATCGCAACCAAAAAATCAGCTGAGCATGGTCGTGGGTATTGTTTTTTCTGTCTATTGTGCAACGGAGGCGTGCATTGAATTCGTATTGGCTGCCATCAGCGTTGGCCTGCTCATCGCCAATGCTCAGTTGCTGCCGAGGCTGCTGTTACGGTCAGGCGTGCCGCAGCTCGCCGTGCCGATGTCTAAACTTTTGCAAGAGGTCGGTGTCGCTGACTATCCAACCTAGGTTTGCATCATCCGTAGAAGTATGTAATCCCCTCGGCGCCGCAACCTCCTTTTCATCAGCTGTAGTCGTTCGTGCTCAGCTCCCAACAGCGCTGTGCTAGAGCGCTCGATACAGTTCGCCTTGGGATAAGAGGGGTGGTTACCAGTAGCGTTTAGGACGAGAGATCAGTTGCAACGAGCTGTCGGAAAACGTGCGTCTCAGAGGATCATTTTTTCTCAGATATGCGAGTGTGTGATGTTGTGTTCTGCTGCAGCCAAACGTAACATTCCAAGAGCGAGTGTCAACAAAATCACAGTTTATGGTATTCACATGGTTTCATCACTACTCTTTAGGACAATGCCCACGAGTTGCACGGGATGGCATTCAAGTACGCAGGTTGTTTTTTTAGTGGGGTTGTCACTCTCGAGTTGTCCATGCACTCAAATTAACCTCCTGTAGGCACTCCAGGCATTGCGAAGCTAGAGTGCCGCGCGTCGAGCACTGCTAGAACAGTCCCGACATTTTGTCGAATCGAGCCACGGCGACCTAATTTTGGACCCGGAAACTTGGCTGGATTTGCAGTAATTGTTGAGCCTTTCCCCACTGTCGGCTTGATAGTCCTGAGCCCAGAGTTGCTCACAGAGAAGCGTTGATTTCCTGGAGGTCGAAGATTTTGGGTCAGAAACCCAAGATGTTCCGCAGCTTTCCAAGGGTCTCCTGCGTCTTGCGTACTCGTAAAGATGTTTATCGTTGTATAGATGATCTACACAACGGTTACCACACTCACGATTGCGACTGTTATTTCACAATAACTACCTTTCTTAACAAATGTCTAAGACTATTGGTATGTCTCGGGCCACCGGTAGAAGGGCACCTGCTGGGATGATGGGTCAGGTTTGGAGCCAAAGTCATACCAAAGTTCGAAGCGAGCTGTTTTTGGATGGCTCCCCTATCGTTGACCTGTCTGAATAAAGGGAAGGTGAAGCTGCATAGTACGCTTCCATTTTCAGAGTGATCGTTGACGCCAATATTAATGCGTGCCAGGGAGAATATTAATTCTTGAGTTACTCCCAAACCTCACCAACATACCGAAAACAAGAGGGAACTTTTTAAATAAATTTTGATGAGTACGATATTTGAATATATTATATAATTTTATTCTCGAGCATCGATTTATTTTATATATACGATATATTGATTCTGATTTATTTCGTTTCTTCTCTCTAATTAATTCTTTCTTCTCTCTCTCTAATTATTTTATTACAAATTATAATACTATCGCTACTACTAAGATGTACCCTCTTTTATTTTTTTTCTCCCTTCTCTTCTAGCTCTTTCTTTTTCTCTCTTCCTTATCATTCTTTTACTATTCATAAGAAGAAGAATTCCGAGAATTGAAATTTAGATTCTAATATCTTATTAGAGAAACTGAAATTAATAGAAAATCTGATTATCGAGGTCGTTGAGATAAATTGATAATATTATTATGATATGATTCTTTTATTGGAATAACTTGAACGTCGATTTTTAGAATTTACTCAATCGGAATTGAATTCTATTTTAATTTTTCTATTGGTTTTTACGGTATTTTTTCATGGACTTTTATATAGAAAAGATTGGTCTCTAATTTTCGAATCTAGTATATTTCGATATTTATATATCTATCTAATTTTTTAATTTCTTCTCAGAAAAAGAAAGATTGCAAAGAGACGTTCTGAAGGAAGACGATAAAAACCTACAAGGAATCCGACATTTTCAGGATTTTAGAAAGGATCCGTAATATATCTTAAAATATTTTCTTTGATTGAAAATTATGAGCTCCGAAATATTATATTAAGATATATTGGGCTGAATGACGAGTTCTGAGATAGGATAAAATAAGAATGATATTTCTTCGCAATTCTAATTAGTAGTAGTAGTAGTATGATATATTTTTTAAAAAATATTTAAAATATAGATCGTATTTATAAAGATATCATCAATATATTTCGTAGAATAAATTAGAAATTATAATTCGATTCATATTATATAATGATAATTAGTATTATAATATACTTATAAATACGATTTTATTGCATTTTATTAGTCTTATTATAAAATGAATTTTGATTAATTATTCTACGATTCTATGATTATCGTTTCTTATTGGTTTATTTTTTCTATGTCAGCCATATAAAAAACTTTGTCTTTTTCTTAGATAATTATTTCCAATTGATCCGCAAAATCAATAAAAATAGAAGTCAAAAACGAAAAATAAAGTATTTACGATATATCACGAATATTTATTCAAAAAATAAAACGAAGAATTTCAATAAAGATAGAAAGATCGATATTTCTTCTCGAAAAATTTATAAATTTCAAAATATTATTTTTTTAAAAAAAAACGATATATCCCGCGCGGCGGCAGATATTACATCTTATAAATATTCATATCTAAGGATTTAATTTTTTTAAATTATATTAATTATGATATCTCGGTCGCGGACTGAATCGCGTAATTCTTTGATATCGCTCCTAGTCATATTAATAAATTGGCTTTGGATGATTGCAGCTTTTCTAATATTTAAATTAGAAAAGCTTAGAGAGCCCCTGCGAAAGTTTTCGAGTTTTTTGGCGAATTTTATTAAATTCTAATATTTGGATTGGGACAAAAAAATTTTCGGAAATAATTTCTTAAGAATTTTTTATTAAACTAAAATTTGCGGCGACGCGATAGCGTCGCCGCCAGCAAAGCCTAAGCCTGCCTAGATTATGCCTAGATTAATTCTATATAAACTGTCCGTGGCGAAACAGAAGAGCGTGCAAGCATCTCTCATTTTTCGAATGCCTAAAACACACGATGTGTGCGCATGCATTCTTACTTACGCATGCAGATACTTATATATTTCACGAGGGACATTTTGGAAACGTCCCTTGCCAAATATGCATATATGCGATGTTGCATGATTGTGCTGCTTGCACCGCGCTAAGCTGCAAAGTGCGCACGCTTGTGTCCGTGGCAGATTTTTCAAGCGGGCATATGCCAGAGCTCCCCGTGAATCGCAGCCGAAATATTCTAGCAAGATGTTGCCGGAGCAGCTTGCCGTGGTGACACGTTCAGCTTCCTTGCAATTCTTGGTTTGGTGCGGCTTGGCGCGCTGTCCCGGATATTGTAAGGACGGTCACAAATGGAACGCAACGGCGCCCGGCAGCACGCCAACGGCGAAGGCGGCAGAGGAAAAGCCAGAGAAGGCCAAGGGAAAGCGGAAACGGATATCAATTGAGGAGAATATACCACGGCAGCTCTTCCGGTATTACTACGGCCCGGCTTCTCCGAAGAAGCGTGGACGCCCCACGCGGGCCAGTCTAGCAGCGGCCGCGGGGGGGCAGGAGCCTGTGAGCAAACCAGTGCAATGCCAGCGAGCTGCGTCTTGGCGCAAATTCCTGTCACAGACTTGCTGCCGACCAGCATCGGGCCTCAGAAGCTCGTCGGTTTGTTATATTGGCTCAACCAATTGACTGGCATTCAAAAAGCCGCGGCCTATACCGGCTGCGATAGGGTATCGGTAGGCAGGATCTACAATATTTTCCGGTCATATCTGGTCGCCTTCCTCCATAAGCAGAATACCCAGTTGCTAGGCAGCCACCGACTTATTTGCTGTGTTGACGAGTGCTTCCTCGCCAAGCACAAAGCATCCAAGCAACTTCGTGGCCGCAGCACCCGACCAATGCGTATATTGGTGGTCGGTATTGTGGAATTGGACCAAGATACGAGGAAGGAAACTGGTCGTTTGGTTTTACGCTTGGTATGGAACAGATCGAGCCGGACATTGACCAGTGAAATGCGTAGAACTATCAGGCCAGGCACCACCGTCGTCACTGACGAGTGGCGTGGCTATAACGACTTGACCCAAGCCGGATTCAAGCACGTGAAGGTCAACCACAGCAAAAACGAGAAGGTGAATGCCGAGGGATTGGGAACGAATCCGGTCGAAGGCTTATTTTCCAGAGTCAGAAGGTTCTTGCGCCAAAATTATGTCCGGATGCCCTCACGCAAGAATTATGGGTTGCTGCTGGCCGAATACTGCTGGCGACGCAGTATCCTAGGTCAGCAGACTTTGCCTCCCAGGCAATGGCCGAAAGCAGCATTCTGGCGCCTATTGGCGACCGTGAAGGAAGTAATTCCGAGCGATTACCTGGTGAGGAGAGCATCATACAAATAAGAGGCCGGGTGTCCGGATTCGTGAGGGTGTGCAGTCTTGAATGATTCACAGGTGTGCTGAAAATATTTCAGAGGATGACGGGCACTGTAGCAGATGAAGGTCCGGCAGGGCATGCTGGCCAGGATCTTTTGGCATCCTTTGTGAAGTTAGCAATTCTAGATTTTAGTTCCGCATGCTCTGGGATAGCCTGCAGGACGGATCCTTGCTGATAGAGGAATCATGGGAGGGCAAGGCCTTGGACCGGATTGATTTCGGATAATTCATTCCGAAAGATATCCGACGGACCGGGCACGACACTGCCATGGCTCCAGAAGACGTTTATTCTGCGCCTTACTATCGCAGCAACGTCGACTGGTCCGTGGTGGAAGAAGATGCTGCCCAAGAAGGGATTGCTCGGGTATTGCCCATGGAGGAGCCAGACCCCATTTTCGATGGCGATTATGAGCCCACGACCGCCCCGGGCGACCCCCATCAAAGCGCGGCAGAGGGCGTGGCGGGATACGTGGGGGCCGTCGATGGTCCCGACCACTCAAGGTGGTTCCAGAACGGCCCCTAGATTTAGAAGCCGATATCGAGGAGCCTGGGACGTCAAAGAAAAAAGAGGCAAGCGAAGAAGGCGTTCTTTTGGATATCGATTTTGAGGATCCCTTCGCCAACTTATTTCTTGATCGCGAGGAAAAGACGCACGAGAAGGATCGACCCGGAGATGAGGAATTCGAGGACCTTGACATCACCGGTGATGGTGCTTGCCTCTACCGTGCTTTTTTCCTCGGCATGCAGCTCCTGTCGGGAATCCCGCGTCACAAGCTTGAGGACTGATGTTGTGAAAGATGGGACTAGGGCAAGGAAGTATACCTTCTTGATGCAAGAGTGACAGGACCCGAGGTCTGCTGTGCAAGAGCTGCGGGAGGACGTTTGTGATGCTATGCACAGCTGGACGGATTCCCTCCCGCACGCGCGATTCAACGATTTGACGCAATCGTTGGCCTGGAACGCCCGTCAAACTCATTGTCGTGTGCCAGGGCTTGTGTTGTGAATATTGTAATTTAGAACCGATACCAGGTAAGAAAGACACATGCTCCGCAAACCAAGGAAATGCGGGATGATCCTGCTTGGGTGGAGACTTATGGGGATCATTTCAGTTGGCATGAGTATTGGTCTTGGGCCAAGAAGCCCGGGACCTATGGAACTTTCGCCAACATTTCCTCCTTTTGCCGCCTGCGCAGCATCTCCGTAGACGTTTACGCCCAACAAGCAGATCGGAAAATCTGCATTTGGCAAAAATGTACGAGTGCGGATGGCCCAGAAGCCGGCCCCATTCGCTTGTTGCGGGCCGGCAACCACTTTGATTTGTTGGTCCCGGCTTAACATGGCTTGGTCGCAAGCTTCGCTTCTCCATCCACAGCAAAAGTGCAAGCGCCGTACAAACACTGCGAGGCATGCTAAATCAGAATGACAGTTTGTTGATACGCAATATACCACACATCAACAGATACTTTTGACAGAATTATACCAAGAGACATGGTTGTTGGAGTTGATGCTGACCGAGATGGAATGCCGATTCAGCACGAGCTCCACCAGCAGTTGAGGATTGATAGTACGATAAGAGACACCGGATGTGGCAATTTTTTTAATGATGGGGAATAATATTTGTGAACTTATTTGTGATTCGTTTCGACATGTTCATATGTAGTACCAGCTTCCTGTGTGTCACACCAGCTTTGTTTCACAATGCAACTTCAGTGCTCAAGACTTGCACCCTGCAAAGTTCCAGCGCAACTCAGCTCGTCGCATGGCCCTGCCACCGCTTTGCTTTGCTTGTTGTGTTAAGATAGTCAGTCGGTTGCCAGTGCTCTGTGACCGAGAAATACATGAAACCTTCCATTTGTGTTCAAAAATCAATGATGGCCGATGATGTCCGCGATTGGACCAAGAAGTTATTCGATCTCCTAATCAGTGTGGGCGAACGCTTGCTCGATATTTCAAGCGGTAAGCGGCATTAATTTCACTAGTACATTTTTTAAACCATTTGTTACCCGATAATGAGTAATAACATTAGTAAATATAAAGCAATGGAAACAAGCTCAAATTTGTGTGACATGCGATATTGGCCGATATGGTTTTCCAAGTTTATAGTCTTCGGGGATAGGGGCGTGCAGATTAAGTACGAAGAGATCGGCGCATGGCTGGGAAAGTGAAATTTGACACAGAGAATGAATCGAACATGTTTTAGTTTTTTGAATAATGAATAATACTCTTATAATATTATGAATATTTTCGATTCAAATTGAAGATATGAAATCTGGTTTGTTTGGAAGTTTGGCAAGGAAAATTTGATGTGTAGGAATGTTTTCTTGCGACTTCAGGAGTAGAGGAATATGATATACTATGATATGTAAGGAGAAGATTGTTATTATGTTCCGAATTACTAGTAGTTCAAGTAGTTATACCAATATGTAGTGGGACTTGCACTAGTAGTAGTAGTAGTAGTAGTAGTAGTAGTAGTAGTAGTAGTAGTAGTAGTAGTAGTAGTACTAGTAGTAGTAGTAGTAGGAGTAGTAATAGTATTTGCATTGCCATCGTCTTGCGGTCCAGCGCATCCGACGTAGGGACAGATATTATCCGGCCATTCAATTCAGCACCATATGGGCCGAAAGGATGGCACCGAACTGTTGTCGGCTCCCACAAACCAAGCTCTTGGAGATATCTAATCCATCTCCTCAAAACATACAATCTTTGCTCTGCTACCGGGGCCGGAGTGGTCTCCTCCGCTTTGACTGCTACTTTGGAGAGCAGAGAGCGCTCTCTGCCGAGCTTCACAGCTTTTCTTGTGCTCAGTACCGAGCGTGATGCTGCAAACTGAGCAACAGTGCACATGCGATTTAGATGCAAGCCTTCCGCACTGCAAAGTGACACACAGGGAGATAGCACGTCTAGCTGCTGCGGTCGCCTTCCTCTCACATCGCCTAGAGTGGTAGCCATCGCGGCATGTCGAGCAGCAGGTGTCCCTATGCTGTGTTGCAATGCGAGTGCATCCAGCCACCGCACATAGCGCCATGAAGCAACCTCAGTGCACATGTGCACATGTGAGCGCGTGACATGTTGCATCGGGCATTCCGCGCATCACTTCTCCAATCGGTGCAAGTGTAAAGAGCAATCCTTTGCTGACCACTCGGCGGTGCCAGTCGGCCGTTCCAAGCTGTACAAACGCCTTATTAGCGACAGGAAACTAGCCTAGTGAAGGCAGCCTAGTGAAGGCAGGTGGCAGCGGGATTAAACCACTAAAGAAGACCAGCCCTCATTACAGGGTTCAGTCTCGAAGAACACACGGCAGGCAGTCCAAGTGAAGATCCTGAGTAATGCGAACCGTCCGTTCCGGGAGGTGAAAACCCAGCTCACTTAGCTGGGTATGGACTCTGTCGCCCAGGCTCTCCCACCGTTGCACAGTGTACGCAACGAGAGTAACCCGGTCAAAGGTGTCCCAGGCACACGTGTAGTGCAGAAGCTGGTGGGCCTGAAAGCGGACTGCATGTAGTTGCAATGCATATCGGATGCCCCATACTTCCGTTCCTTGAAACAGAATCGCCTCGTCACCCTCAGGGGTCTCTATCCACAGCTCACCTTCATCATGTAAAGACAATGCAATCACCAAGTTGTGGTGACTGTTCTGCTTGTCACGATGAGGAGGGGTACCGTAGTTGAAATGGAGAGCAAGCGTCGTCCAGGTGTGCCTCGGACATATCCTCATGATCAAGCAGTTGAGGATCATCGCAACATTCGGATGGGTAAGGGTTTTCCTGCAGAGGCCATGAAAGGGTCCTTTGGCATACGCCCCAAAGCTGACACTGGAGGCTTCTCCATTCCGCAATGCCATGGAGTGGCGAGGTTGCTCATGATCGAGCAAAATAGCAAGCTGCCGTGCCGCACTCCAAATAGGGGCGCTACCTGCCTCAAGTATGTGCATAGCCAATCTTTCCGCAGCTCCAATGGAGCCAGGGTCCTGCCAGTGAGGGACCGGTAGAGTGGCATGCATCTGCACTGAGAAGGTGCTGGAGAGCTCACTGGCATAGGCCACCAGCTCTCGGCGCCACGGGTCACGCAGAGCTGAGCACGCCCATTGGAGAACATCATTGCGAGCCAGCATACCAAGTTGGCGCGGCGGGAGCTCCCCAAAGCATAGGACATGTAAGTGCCGCACAGCACTCAGAAGCAAATGGGCCTCCAAGAAATCGTGATAAATGTCCGCTGGCACTTCTATGCATTCAACAGTCATGCTGGAGAAACTGGGCTGCGGTGTACTTGCATGAACAGAGTGAAGCTGCTGCCGAAGGCATGAGAATGAGCAGCAGGCCCTGTAAGTTGCATCATTGCAAGCCGGAAGAGGAATGTTGAGGCCCCGACCGCGGCCCACAGTCCGCAGATTACAGAAGCGATCACCCAAAATTGATTAGCAGTCTCGCGGCAGGCGAGCAGTGAGCAAGCAGCGCAAAGTGCGCATATGCAATGTGGAGACAGAAGATCGAAAAACGTGCAAATCAGTCACATAGGGGTTCTTTTCGTCAGTGTGCCGGGACGCTTCGGAGTGGCACATGAATTATGGAACATGGGAGTGTGGTCACGGCTGTCCGGAGCCGCACTCCCTCGTACAGATGCTACGCTCTTATCAAACCCACCAGGTAGGAGTTACGGGTAATCAGCGCAAGTTCTTGCCTAGTCGCAGGTCGGGGACTACGTCTATCATCACAGATATAATAGGTCCATGTGGGTCCATCTGCATGTGCGTCCGGAAAGCACAACGCGGCTTGATAATGCCCACTGCTGGGTGTGGGCCCGATGTGATAAACCACGAACCCTACCTGGTATGACAGAGAAACTACATCAGTTCCCTCGTCCGGATCGAGGAAGTGAGGCAGACTCACACGCAAGCCTGGCGGAATGTTCAGGGCAGTCTGATTTTTGCCACGGCGCTCACCGTACCGACATATCTGCAGGCAGACTAGCCCAAGACCATCGACTATGCCATGCACGGAATACTGATTACGCCATCTGTTGATAACATTCTGCAAGGTTCCACCCTCAGGTCTGACATGTATGGGTGAGGAGCAGCGACCGCAATCTACAACCTGATGTGGCAGGGAGAGGCGTGCTTCCCACCTGCCTGCAAGAGCATCCAGAGGCAGCGTAGTGCCCAGGTGCTGCCAAAATTCGCCTATGTCGTGCTGTCGAGTGATGTCAGGCCAGGTGTGAAATATGGGCCGAAAAGCGATGCTCTCTATCAGCGAGCAAGCATGCGACTGTCGAAGGAATGAAAAACCAGCCTGAGCGGTCCCCGCAACGGTAGGAGTGAGCCCGGCAAGCTCATGCTGCCAATAGAGAGCCTGAATAGCAGCATTAGCATAGCAAACATTCATGCCCGCAGGATTAGCAAGCTTGATCATCGGCAAGCGGGGGCCTGGCATATGCAAGGTTGGGCGTGGCACTGCCTGAAGTGCCACACCTCCAGAACCCGGCCGACCTAGGCCGAGCTCTGCTGCGCCGCGTAGCCCCTGGGACGCTATTCGCTGAAGTCCAGGGCCTGGTAGGCTTGCTCGATCTGCTTGCTCATCTGGGAGCGCTGGGCACGCTCCGGCTTCAGCCTCATGCCCAACATCTTGCAGCAAGCATTGCCCACCAATCGCTGCATAATCCCGTATACCTCGTCGGCTGCCTGTGAGCGGAGGCTGACGGTGATCATGAAGGGAACCACCTCTCCCTCCTTCTTGTCCGTCAGGGACTGTGTGCAGCGAAAGCGAAGCAAAAGCCCTTCCGTCGGTAGAAGCATGATCAGTCGATCCATATCCTTGAGAATCTCGGTGTGGGACCTCGGCGCGGTTTCGCCGACTTCCTGCTCCTTCGTCTGTGGATTCCAGACGTGGTACACCCAGGCTGGGTCGAGGGCTTGACGACCTTCCACCAGCCATCCCGCCGCTTGGCATCGCTTCTGCTTGTCTTCGTTGATCTGGAGGTCCTCCAGAGCCTCCTTGAGCTTCTTGAAGATTCCCATCAGAAGCACCAGCTTCAGCGGCGATTTGACCTCGCCCTTGGTGAAGAGCTCGCCCCATTTTTCGGCTGCTTCCTGCACTGACTTGAGGCAGGAGTGGGTGGAAGTATCGATGAAGAGGACGAAGCTTGTGTCTGCACGAAGCATCGTCAGATCCGCTTCGTGTCGAATCAGCGCCCTGGCCACGGTCGTCATGAAGTGCTGGACCTTCTGATCCAGTTGGGCGTTGGAGTGGCCCGAGCTCGGTTCCCAGCCTCTCTTCTGGGACCAGTTCTTCGGCCATTGCGTGGGGCCCTTTCCGCCCTCCTGCTTCCTCCATTTTCCGGAC